ATTATTTTTTTTATTTTTACATCAAAAATATAAAAAATATCAGCATAAAGTTAGACCAAACCCCACAACAATAAAAGGTGAAATACTCTAAAAATGTAGGCGTGACTAAAAACAAGTGTTACACAAGTGCGCACACGTTGTGTAACACTTGTTTGCTTTTAGCCATGTAACACTTTGAATACAGCATTTATGTATGAAGAGATTTCCGCCTTTATGTGACTGATTCTCACACTTCTGTTACTACTGTCCTCACTTGCACGCTAACGTAAAAACTACAGATGAAACCTTGTGTGCTGTTTTAAAGTTTTGCACGAGTTGTAACTTATTTCTTGCTTTAAAACGGAAGAACTTGAGTTGCATTGCTTGCTAAGTTAAAACATTTCTTTGTCGCTGTTTCAGCTCGGCATCATGGGTGAACCACAGCAGGTCAGTGCTCTGCCTCCTCCGCCTATGCAGTACATCAAAGAGTACACGGATGAAAACATTCGCAAGGGTCTGGCTCCTAAGCCACCTCCGCCCATCAGAGACAGCTACATGATGTTTGGCAACCAGTTCCAGTGTGACGACCTCATCATCCGGCCTCTGGAGAGCCAAGGCATTGAGCGGCTCCATCCGATGCAGTTTGACCACAAGCGGGAGCTCAAGAAGCTCAACATGTCCATTCTCGTGAACTTTCTGGACTTGCTGGACATCCTTATCAAGAGCCCTGGCAGTATAAAGCGTGAAGAGAAGCTGGAGGACCTAAAGCTTCTGTTTGTTCATTTGCACCACCTGATAAATGAATATAGGCCACACCAAGCCAGGGAGACGCTGAGGGTGATGATGGAGGTGCAGAAGAGACAGAGGCTGGAGACAGCTGAGAGGTTCCAGAAGCATCTGGAGAGGGTGGTGGAGATGATCCAGGGGTGCCTTGCCTCCTTACCTGATGACTTGCCACAGATGGAGGGTCCAGATGGTGCTGGTGATGGTACAAGGAGCGCGTCAGCAGTCGCTAGTGTCGGTTGCTCCTCTGGCCAGGCGCCCAGGCTGAAAACTGAACCAATGGATGTAGAGGAAGCCGGTGCCAGCTGTATGGCAGCAGGCCACCAGGACAAACGCGTCCTTACTTCAAAGAGGGACAAAATATGGGACAAAGATGCTGCCATGTGCAGTATTATTGATGACATTGCTTAATATTTCTGTTGAGTGGTTATGTTTCCTAAAGTGTTTGTATGTTGTACTTAGAGTAAGTCGTTGCTGTGTTCACTGGGCCTGAAGTCATTTCTGGTGTCGAATGGTGTTTTATTTAAAAGCTATCCTGTAGATATATTAATTTTCTGTCAAGATATTTGAAGAATGTAAATCACTTTTTGCAATAAAAGCAATAAAGAACCCTTTCAACTGCTGTGGTGGTGCAATTTTGTCACAATAACACAATGGTGTTTGTTAAACCATCACTGTTTTGAGGGAAACTGCAGCAAATCACACTGTCTAATCTGGTGAGAGTGGTCACAGAAAGGTTAGTATGTATAATCCAGTGAAATATTTTTGGAGTCTAGTTCTTTTGTACAAGTGCGTTTCTTGAGTCCCTTTTTATTTTTATTTTTTAAAGAGTAGAAATAACGTTTGGGGTTAAATTAACAAAAGTTGTTAAAAAACTGTCGGTTGTGTAACAGGTGCTTGTGTTTCTTTATGTACATGCTATATAAAGCTATGTGGTGCAGCAGGCCATAGTGGTGATAATGTGAATCTAATAAGTGCTGCAGCCTCCAGGCCAGAAAGACCTCTGTGAGACAGGATCCACTTGTATAACACATGTAGAGATTTTGTTGCATCACCGATGAGCTCTGCAGCACTGTCCTGCCATGCCTAAAACAACAGGTTTTGTTCAGAACAATAACAGCAACGTTGGGCTCCTGTGCACTTTGCACCCTCACAGACACTCGTTCACTCCTTTTAGCACTACAAAACACACTCTTTACATCTACCCGACTTAGTTTTATGCTATGTAAGTAAAAACTGAGGATGACCATAACTGGGTCATGATCCTGCCCCCCCCCCCGCCTGTCAGTATTATGCTCTGCTGGGATTCCCCACACTGTGGCAAGGTAATATCCACTCCCTTCACCTTTAAGTGGAATTATTATTATTCCCAGGGACGAGTCGCACGAAGCTTTCAACTCATTTCCCCTCCCGGTGTTTTAATTAAACCCAATAATAAAAACTAAGTCATTTTGTCGCAGGAATCGTGTTATGAAACTCTGCATCCTTGGGTTTCACAACAGGGCGGAAAGCCATTCTGGCGTCCAATGGGATCGCATGCTGCTGCGTCACGTGGTCTTTATTTATGTAACGTAATGGTGTTACATAGTAACCCAGCTGAGCTTTGTGGCGGTGGAGACGTCGCTACAGGGGTTAAAACTGGACACGGACTTCTCCAAAGAAAGAATATTAATGTGCACATACTTCGCTGCGGTTCGTGGTGCCGAGCGTGGAGTTTGGAGCGGCGGGAAGAGCGTCGCATTCAGCTCTTTTAATTGTTTTATTCAACCTGCTTGAAAAGGGAAAACGTCATGTGTCCCAAACCAAAGACTAAGTTAGGGCTAAGAATTGATAATGTCAATGGATACACGTTTTTAATACGAAAGGAACATTTGTGAGGTGAGCCTTTAGGGGGGTTGCATTAGCTTAGAAGCTTAGCCTGATAGAAACCGGTCGGGTTTGAGCAGATGTGACCAACGAGGAGGGGGGGGGGACACATTTACTGTACCGCCAGCTGTCTGTGTGTTATCTAAATGGTCCATGCAATACCACTGCACAGAAAAAAGCCTGTCCGCCCTTTGACGACAAACAAAAAGCCTAATTTCTTCCAGTGGGACGTTGTTTCTGGTGACACAACCCGTTCACCATGGACCTGCTGGACTGTCCGCTCTGTCTCTTCCTGATGTGCGAGCCGGTGACCATGTCGTGCGGTCACACATTCTGCCGGAGATGCGTGGGGGGCTACCTCCAGTCCAAATGCCCGTCGTGCAAAGAGAGGTTAAAACAAAGAGAGGTGAAAAGCATGAAGAACAATGTGTTGCTCATCGGTGTCATTGAAAAGTGCTGCCCCGACGAGACAAGGATGAAGTGCCATTTACTGGAGAAGCTCAAAGCCAACGAGTTCACCGAAGCTTTACGCATCGCCAATGAGGGGCTAGACTTAGGTAAGGGGGACAACTGCAGACGCAGCACAGAAGTTTGTCTGGTGTGTGCTTGGGTTCAGTGACGCCTGCAGGTCTGCTTGTGTTTAGAAGAAGGAGAAAAAAGAAACACGGTTGCTTAAGACGACATTTCAGTAAGGAGACAGACGGCTCACAGTTTTCTGGCTGCTCTCCCACTGATGGTGCCTGATGGTGCGTCCCGTTCTGCTCTTCAGGACAGTCATAATGTGCACAGCAGTGAGACACAGGAGGTGTAATGACAGAAAGATACATTATATCCACTGTCTGAGGCTGTTCATGACCTGAATGTACAACTGGGTCAGTAAACAGTCTCCAGATGTGTGCATATGGAACCATTTAGGCCAGAACAAAAAAAAAAACACTTAAACTAATGTTGTGTGCAGCATAAGAAAGATGCACTGGGTAAAGTTAACCTGCTTTAGTCTGGTTCGATATTCCCCCTTCTGTATTCCAGTCACACACAGTATAGGAGGCAGTAATAGCTGTTTTTAACAGCAGGTACTGGACACAGCCTGCGACAGTTGTCCTGTTTTCAGTGCAGGCTTTTTGCCGATTTCTGCTGCAAGTCACCGATGGAAAAGTAGGGTATGGTTAAGAGGATGTGGTGTCTTTGATTACTAGAAACACTCATGCAAACAGATCTACTACTTTATCTGTACAGTAACTGGTCCTCTGCACTTGCCTTTCTATGCGCAATTGACCTTATTTTCTACATGCAGCAGTGAGGAAGTAAAAGGGACTTCTGCCCTAGATGAGTTTATTTAGGCAGTGGGCGTCCTTGGGATCGTAGGAGTGTTTGTGCTAAAGTGAATCAGTGTGCCGTTGAATTACCTTACATGTTAGCAATCTCTGCCAATCCAATTAAATACTGCTGCTTCCCTAGCCCTCCTAGCTCTTGTGTAATGATCTCCCGGCAGTTTTTCTTTTCGATTGGAGGTTTGAGGTTGTGCCATAACAGCTTAATTTCTCGTTTCATAATGCGGGCACTGTCAGACACTGCGTCTGAAATTAAGGCCTTTACACTGTTCATAAACGTGACTTGACTGGAGCAATAGCTTAAGTAATAGTGACTAGTTGAGCCTTGGATTCACACATGCACAGCACACGTACGCACAGTTGAACATCAACAGAAAGCATAGTTTGTTTTTTAAATAATCTTTGTTTTAGTTTCAGTTTAGTTCGTTCTTATGTATGTTACCAGTGTTAGAATGGGAAAGCATTTCGCACATACGATTCACAGTGTTAACTTTGAGAGTTTTAAATAGTCTGTATACAAATCTGCTTCACTGAAGAGAAACAAAGTCAATTCTGTTTTGGTTAGGGGATGCACCAACATGCAGTTTTTCTCTCCTTATACCTAAACTCCCTATTAACTGATATTTTGTACCAAAGCAATACCTTGTTTTAGGCTTGTGCAAAATTTAACTACGTTGCTCTAGAAAGCTTCTAAAAATTGCATTTTACAATGACCGTGATTAAGAAAGAGCATTAATTGCGGATCTGTCACGTCTTGCCTGATGCGCAATCTGTTTAATAAGGCCAGTATCAAACCAGAATCAGTTTTAGGACCTCCTTCGTGTTCCACAGCAAGCAGAACCAGTTGTTATGCAGGCAGTTCCATGCTTGTCATTACATGTTAAATGTTTGTATGTAGAAAGTTGTGTAAATAGAGTCTATAAGCATTAAGTCACAGCTCATTAACGGTTATGCAATTCTACAAGAACTGTTATTTTTAAATTATATTATCCGACATTTTTTTTTCTTTCATCCTCAGCCCCAGATGATCAGAGTTTAAAGGTGTACAGAGCTGAAGCTAACTGGGGAATGATGCGTTTCTCTGATGCTCTGATTGACCTCGACCGCCTCTGCTGCCTTCGTCCCAACTGGACTGAGGTGAGAGACGTGTAGAATGTTGATAGCGTTGGCAAGAGACATGATGTCCTGCTTTTATTGTGTCTTTTCCCGCACGGTGTGAACACATCTGTTGAATTTATTCAATTTAAAGCTTCCAGTTCCCACCAGTTCACCTCTGTGCAAGTGTCTGCTGAGTTTAACCCAGCATGCACTCCAGTGGTTGGTTTTATAACCGACATATAACGGTACATACGTAACCACAAAGAGAAGCTGCTGTTGTTTTTATCTGTCGTTTTGTATTTTACCTTAGTGTGCAAAGCTTGACCCCCTTAGAGCGATTTTCTCTGCTTTTATTGATGTTATGTCATTCACAAAGTTATGCAAACAGCTACTTATGTCATAATGTAATTTAATGACTCGCCCACTGCAACAGCAGAAATACCCACTGTATATAATCATTTAGATCGTTGCAATATATTTTTAGAGATGTGTTATATCGCTTACAATTACAATCTGACTGCTACTAAGCATCTAGCTGCCAGAGCTGCACTATGCAACTGTCAGTGCAAAAGGAGGTAAAAGTGTTACTATATCATAATTCTGATACACTTTTTGATCAAGTTGCATAGTTATTTTTTTCCCGTTCTCTGCATTGTGATGCTTTAGATATGTCATTCAATGGCGCAGGCAAGCGATGTGCTGATTTCACTTTTCTCTTTGTCCAGGGCTTCTTTCGTAAAGGGAATGTACTGCTGGAAATGGGTCAGCAGACAGAATCCCTCATCCAGTTCCACCGTTGCCTAAATCTACAAGCTGACTTTGTTCCTGCAAAGAGCCAGATCAAGAAGGTTTGTTCAGCTTAAGTAACAAGTTTACTTCAAAGACCTGTAGACGCACAGCTGCAGGGTACACACTTTATTGTAAACAGACTGGCACACAACACATACAGTACACATCTTTGAGGTGATCAGTTAACCTAGTTCCATAAATGAAGAGTTGATTAAAACATTAGGAATGTCTGATTTTCCATTATAGGTCACATCATGGTTTGAATGATTAGGCATGATTGTCTGCTCAGATTAAAGATTGTTTCCAGCATGTGTGGGTGCAATTTAGAGTTATTATTACTGTTTTTTTTATTTTGTATTATTTGATTTGCTCTAATTTTTGTTTTTCTTAGTTTAGTTTTAGATTGCGATGGCTTTTGATGATTTGAATTTATTCTTCCCACTTAGAGTGAATTGTATTATTTAATTATTATTGTTATTATTATCTTTACAGTAGTAGTAGTACCATGTGTGGTGGTAGTAATAGTAGAAGTGCTGCTACCTCTTAACTTCTTAAAAGTAATTCAATCAATATATCTTTGATTTTAAATATGTGTTTACGTATTTATATGCAAAAGTTATCCAATGTATCCATCCACATTTAACTTAATATTTTATTTCCAATTTCAATGGCTTTTTATCACTATTTCCATTCGATTTAAGTTGACAGCACTGGTAACACATTTACCTTAAGACCTCTATGTGACTCATTTATATCATGACATGGATTCAAATGGCAGATCCTGGAGGCAGAGGGCGTGGCAGTGCCGGACGAGGTGCCCTGCATCTTGCAAGTCGTGTCCGAATACCTGAAAGAGCCTTGCCCCATTACCAGCCTGAGTGGCTCCCAAGGGCCAACTCACCCTGAGGCCCTCAAACATCCACATGGGGATGAGGGAGAGGGAATTGGGAGGAGAGAGGCACACCAGGTGAGCTCTACACCGGAGGAAAATGTTTACTGTACATATTTGCGCTTTGTTTGTGGGAGTTTTTTTTAAATGTAAATCCCAACTGATAAAACTGTCTTTAGGGCTCCAAGGTGACACATGACTCAGGCACTGAGTGCTGCCTCAGCCTCTGCCAAGCTGTTTCCTTCCTCCCTGCTGCTGAAGAGGACGAGGAGATGATGATGAGGAAAGAAGATGGGCATGGCAGGGGTATGCACACACACATCTTCATCATCATTGTCCTCATCATTAATCATATTATCACTGTCACTACAAACAGCTTTAACATAGCACCCACTAGATGGTTTGAAATTGCATAATGATACTAACTTATTTAAAAGCTTAAAAGTGATTTTTTTGTGTGTTTGTTTTGTCTCCTTTTTTGTCTCTCTTTCTCTTTTAGGTGAGAGTAGTCACCGCAGAGAGAAGATTCTGGGTGTTCTCACTGTGTCAGACTTCGAGTGCCCTCTCTGCATTAGGTCAGTGTACTGGAGTACTCACTCAAATCAATAATGCATTGCTGCCTGTACCTTGTCTGCTGTAGAGTCATATAACAGGCTGATTCTAATCTCACTCTCTCTCTGGTTAATATTTAGCACACATGCAGCATGTACACAAACATTCAGATGACATCCAGCTACTGTACAAATAGAATGAATATCCTTCCTCAGGTAGGCTGTTTTGACTAAAGCTTATATCTCCTTTCTGTCCTCTGAAGGTTGTTTTTTGAGCCAGTCACAACCCCCTGTGGTCACACCTTCTGTAAAAACTGCATAGAAAGAAGTCTTGACCATAACCTCCGCTGCCCACTCTGCAAACAGCCACTACAAGAGGTAACCACATACAGACACCTTCATACATCTGTTTTAAGCCTAAAAGAAAAAAAGTTGCTAGATCCGGTTTTTAACACAGAAATGTCTCAATTTTAAAGTTGTTCATTTTTAATGCGCTGTTATTGCCACCACATTGTGGTAATAACACAACATTTAGTTAAGGCAGGGTGAGTTGCATCACTCCTCTGCTTTAGCTTTGTGACAGTTACAGGTCAAAAGAACTCTCTGGTTCCTCATTCCTAAGTTTTGCTTGTGATAAATTTGTTTTATTACCAGCTGTGTGTATGCAATAATAAAATACTAAATTAATAAAACATTTATTTTATATCAACAAATGCAATGAGTACAAAGTACACATGTGAATGGTTTTTGCCCTTTATTTTTATACACTGACTTGTTGGATTGTAACATTTTTGGAATATTAATGCTGTTGTGTACAATTGCTTATATCCATCATAATGTTGCTATTATAGCTGATCGTTCTCATGTTTCTATGTTTCTCTTCCCAGTACTTTAAAAACAGGAAGTACAACCCCACAGTTCTGCTTCACGACATCATGACCCGACTTTTCCCCTCACAGCTGGCTGAGAGGAAACAGGTCCATGATGCTGAGATGGCTGAACTGTCCAAGTAGGCACCTACCTCACAAAATCTACACTTGGATTTAATTTCAGCAACTCAAATTTCCAATTCTTACAATTCTCTCCCTTATTTATTTTTTATCTTTTTCTTCTTCTTTGTCTCTTCCTTCTTAGTCTCACTAAGGACATCCCTATATTCGTTTGCACGGTGGCCTACCCTGGAGTGCCCTGCCCTCTGCACATTTTTGAGCCTCGGTATCGGCTGATGATGCGTCGCTGCATGGAAACTGGCACCAAGAAATTTGGCATGTGCAGCTATGAGCATGGGAAGGGGTATGCAGTATCTTTTAATTATCCTAAAGCAACCTGTTTATTTCAAAATATTGGATTTGGTCAATAATAATGTGCTAACTTTAGTGGCATTAAAATATAATCAGTTTTGAAGGTGAGGTTAAGGCCACTGTACATTTACACAGGTGTTTACAGTTATTTTGACCTGACTGGCCAGGCATGGAGAGACCGTGTTTGACATTTTCCTAACTGTGAAGCTCACAGCAGGCTAGGTGGAGCCTGATGGGATGCAAGACGAGTAGGCAGCACAGCGGGCAAAGTTTAAATCATTCATATGTGACCCTGAGTGGGTTGGAAAAAGCATCATGGACACCAATCTGTTGCAAGATCTGTTGTACATTTTCATCCCTTTTCAACTTATTATTGATATTAGTATGTACCCAGTATCTAGTATCTAAAATAATATTAAAATATGGAAATAATGTGCAAAATTATGTTAAAATGAAACATTTAGTTTGTGCGGCTCATTAAATTCAGTATGCAAGTTTATAAACCTTTTGTCTACGTCTGCCTCATTTACAACCTTGCAGTGGACCTCCCTTTTAAAAATGTTTTATTAAAACCTGTGAGATTACCTTACACTACATAAATGGCAATGACAAGACACTTTGCTAAGCTTAAACCAAGATCAGATAGTTCATGTGAAAAGTGTGTGAAATTAGACACAAATTCTTTGTACTTGTATTCTTTCAAAATGAGGATATGTTTATGATCCCTGGAAAATGTAATGTATGAAAAATTCCTTTTTGTTAAATTCAAAACTCTTGTGGTTTTGCTTCATGTGCCTCAGGTTTGCAGACTACGGCTGCATGTTGGATATCCTCAGTCTGGAGCTGTTGCCAGATGGACGGTCCTATGTGGACACAGTAGGTGGCAGCAGATTCAGGGTGCTTAAGAGAGGTCAGAGAGATGGCTACCACACTGCTGACATAGAGTACCTGGAGGACCTGAAGGTCAGGGTTGCACAGATCACAGACTGTAGCAAAATAGCAAAAGCAAAATATTACAAATGGACAACTTGATCTTCTATCTCTCTCTAAACCTTTTATGCATCCTTTCTATCCCAGGTTGATGGTAGTGAGTTGGAGCTTTTGCACCATCTCCATGACAGTGTGTACCAGCAGGCTCAGGACTGGTACCAGCGCCTTGGCAGCCGCATTCGCGAGCAGATCAACAGACAGTACGGCACCATGCCAGATAAAGAGGAAAACATTCAGGTTGGGGCATTAGCAAAACACATTTCCAGATTCTCAAACTTTATAGCAACACATTTCTCTTGCTGTGTCCACTGAATCAATGAGCATTTGTTTATAGTTTTTATGAATGTCAGATAGTAGCCAGTCACGTTGTCTGCCACTGAAATTATGTTTCCCTCCTGACCATGGTGATGTTAAAAACAGGAACCACCGCTTTTGCAAGTGTCTCCTAACTTAAAGGTTAATGCATCCCCAAATTTTCACACTAGGTTCACACTATTTACTCACACTAGTTTCACACTATTTAGCATGTTTTAGTCCACACAACTTGTATACTAAACTTTGCTACATTATTTTGTTATGCTTTCTTGTGCTTTTTCCATGCACCGTTCTTCTGCTATTTTCACTATGGAACAAAAGACACTGTAGAAATCCCAAACATTGCTGAATGCTTGATAAATTGGTAGCAGTACTGTCATTTGAAAACAAGGTTATATGTTTCTATTCTAATCCTTTCCCCAAGGCCTCATCCAACGGTCCGTCCTGGTGCTGGTGGCTGCTCTCTGTCCTCCAGCTGGACCCTGCCTATCAAACCACTGTCCTCTCCCTGACCTCACTCAAAGACCGTTTGGGACATCTCCGCCTCGTCCTTGAGTACTTCTCTCAGAGCTAAACCCCACAGCACAGTGGTATTGTGGCCACAACCAGCTCAGAGTCAAATATTGCACGCACACACAAATGGAGTAAAATCAAAGAATGCACTCACATGAAAGACATCTTAGGTTGGTGCTGGGTTTCGGGCTCTTTAAATTGTGAAGGGACTGTCTTTAAAGTCACAGTTCAAGGCCAAATCATCTGATCAATTGCAGAAAGGTAGTGATTCTATTGCTAACCCCAGTGCAGTCATACAGATTTGGGTTTTTGCTTCTTGAGTTTGCATATGTCTATCTTTCTTACCACCATTTTCTTTCCTGGTTCTTTCAGAGTAAAGTTTCAGAATACACACTGCACTTGCTGCAACAGGAAGAACAACAGGGTTAACCAAAGACGATTTTTATTTAGGTCCATCAAAAGTGTTCTTTGTGGTTAAACTACATCAGTTAATTTTCCTAATAATGTTGCTGAAAATAGGCACTAGGTGTCACTGTTTTTTCTCCAGTTCTTATAAACATGACAAACATGCAACAGCATTAACCAAGCCAGTACAGTAAACTGTACTGTCATGAGTTGCCTATTCAAATCAGACTCTGCATTAATGTAAGTAGGTTTGAAGTCAGAATAAACAGTAATAGCACACACAATTTTCCTGAGGAATTTTCTTCAGGACTATGCACATCAGAGGATTAAAGTTCATGTGCCGAAGGTAATCATTTTGAATATTCTGAGTCATTTGGATATAGCTGAAGGGCATTGCTTGTAATGCTTAAATTTCAGTCGCATTTATTGGCCTTAGCAGCCAATGGCTACGGCTCATTTTATACTATTAAATACTCTTAAAATATCCCTATTTAGTATTAGTAAATACTGCAATAATACTTTGTAGTGTCACATTAAATGGCAGCAGTTGGAGGATCTATTTTTTTTTTTTAATGAATGAAAGCTGCTCTCTCTGGATGCTGTTTGTTATCACCTGGTGGGAAAAAGTCTTCTGTGAAATCATGACAATGAGGAGATGCTGTCTGTGAATGGGAGACGGAGGCAGTACCAGCTTTGTATTACAGTATGAACCTGTGTAATGTGTACTGAGTCATATTTGTCTGTTGCCATCTTCATCAGTTGATTGTTTGTTTTTGTGTGTGTGGTCAGCTCCCTCGAGGTGCAGTCCCAGGCGACAGTGCAACATCTATTGCACAGGGATAACTGTAAAACAATAGTTAGGGTCTGACTAGGGCTAAGTCCCCCTGTGGTACCTGTGTGTAGGCCTTATCACCTACTTCTTGTCCTGACTTAGTCTCCCTGTCTGTCTAGCCCTTCTACCACCAGTCATGGTGCCTTTGAGTGCCTGGGCCAGCTCACAAGGAGACCTTCAAGTCTTAGAGGCTGAACACCACATAAAGGATGGACAGTGTGATTTTTGCCATTGATCTTTATTGATATAGTGCTACATTCCATGGAATGTTGAAGCTGCAATGTTATGTATAGTTAATTAACTAACAAATACGGGCTTAACTGGGTGAAACAAAGGAGATTTTTTTTCTTTTCTACTTTGATAAATGTGCCATAGATATTTCTATGTTCTGTGTGTTGTGGGAATAGTTTGCTAAATAGCCACTGTGTTTATATTTGTCTGCATCATGGAATCTTCAGTTAGTTTTCAACCCTCATGCCTTTTGTATGGTGGACAGTGGACAACCATCGTTGTATGGCCAACATATCACTTTAAACAGTGAGAATTAGTCCAGGTATTGATACAGTTTGAACAATACAGAACAGTAGCCCTGCTGTGTGATATTGTAGGTATAGCTTAGAATAAAAGGGGCAATCATAAGTCTTGATACGCACAAAAGGATAAACCAATGGAGAGAAGGATACTGGGGCAGCATTGGTTACCGAGTAACAGGCACTGAACTCTGACCTGGCAACTTACACTTTACTTGAGGGCAAGAAACACCGTTTTCACCATTTCTTTAAATGCGTTAGTCAACCTCAGTTCATATACTGAAGTTTTATTAAAGCCATCTGGGATTCAGATTGGAGACTTGAATGTGCCAGTTTTTACAACATGTCTTCAAAGGTAGTAGTGTTGATTTCAGTGAAAGATTACAGCATCATAAAGGTCACTTTCTTGCTACCAGACATCATTAAAGCTCACTCAAAACAAAAAGGGACTGAGATTCTCATAGAATCTTTAAATAACCTGACTCTTGGTGGTAAAAACACAGTCTGTGGTTGCCCAGGTGAATTTCACTCCCCTGTCCGACTTCTTATCAGAGAAGACCAATATTATTGCACAGTTGAATCATTTTGTATGTTTGTTTGTTTTCAGATGTTGCAGCTGCAATATCTTACACGAGTTTCTCTCTTTTTCAAATCATGCATTTTTCTGTCACTTTTATTACTTAAAGATGCCTCCTTTCATTAAAGAATATGGTGATGTATGCTGCATACAGCAATCTCTGATATGGGTTTACTCTATTTAAAACAAAACCTAATCTCTGCATCAATGTGTGATTTACTTCATAATCCAATGCTAAATGTATTTGAAAAATAAATTATTGCACCTCCACATTTTGCCTATAATCTTTTAGTAGGTTCAACTTTGGTGCGGCTAATGCATTGCAGCAGTCACGAAAAGCTCTTGCCCCTTCATACCCTGGCTGATATCCATTAGCCATACTTGCAGATCAGTACCAGAAAATGTCCTCCAACACAGTTAAAACAATTTGCACTGAATCCACATTGTCTCTTACACAGAACACTGAGCATAATAAGTGACCCGTTCTTGGCAGCGAATCCCTGTGAGAACAAGTCTTACACTTGTGTACTTGGGAAAGGCTGTGAAAAGCAGCATGGTGGTGTGTTCTTGCTTGCAGGAAATGATGGCTGATGTGGTTTGATGGTCAGTGGTCTGTGGGCTGTATAACTAGAGACATGCATTGCTATTGTGTAGACTGTGCTGAAGTACCTCAATGTTAAAAACAAGTACATTTAAACCCACTGACACTAAAGCAATTTCTCTCTGAGTAATTTGTAGTCATTCCCCCTCCTCTGAGCCAAGAGCAGTAAATTATCTTGATCTGATTATTGTTTATTTGCTTGCCCCTCTGGATTACTTTTTAAATGTTATTATAAATAAAGCTTTACAAAGCAAATTCTGCATTATCCTCATTTAATGTGCCTGTTTTTTGTCTGGAGTGATTTGAATGTTATACGACCAATTTTTTGGTCATTAAGGTGACATTACAAGCCAAATGAAAGTGGCGGGACCTATTGCAATTCGCAGCATGACAGAAATTGGTAGAGAGGAGGGGTGATTTTAGTGAAACGTGCCTCACATACTGATAGCAAGACACTTTGGCATGGACAGAGTTATAATTACTGGGAGAACTGTGAAGTGCTGCAGCTGCAGCAGAGTGAAACGAGTCTTGGGTTTGCCCTTGTGGTTAGAAATTAAAATAAGAATAGAGAGGGTGGATATTTCCTGTGAATGTCCAACTAGATGACATGTTACATTAGCTGCCAAAACTTTGAATGTACAGCCACAGAGATGGATTATATCAAAGTTACCTATTTTGTTAATGTTCGTTATGTTCTGTCATTGGCCACATATATGCAGTATTATTTTTCTGATGTTTAGTTATTGAGATTTAAACAGTTAGTATGTTTTATGCAATCCAGACCGAGAAAGCCACAGCAAAGTGTCATCCTCACTACAGCACAATCACAAAATGTGAACAAACAGTTCATACAGGAAAACAATAAACTACAAACACATGCTATGGACAAACTTTCCACCAGGGGGCAGTCTGTAGCTGTGGATAGATTGTGGAGTGTCACACAAATGGAACCATACTTCCTAAACAAGAAGAAATCACATAAGAGCATGTTTATTTCATTTCAGAAAGGCTAAAAATGAGCATGTTAGTGTCACAAATAGGGTCAAAAGTAAGATTTTGGCTGGTAGGGAGAACCAATCATATGAATCAAGCTGGAAGGAAATGGTTATTTCCCATGCAGCTGAAAAGAACATAAATTAGTTAAAGTAAAAGAGGATGTGTGAGTGTAGGTGTGCATGCGGTGAAACACACTCCTCTATGCACGAGAAGGGAAAAAAGAGCGTAGCAGAAGTGAGGCACGTTTCCTGCCAACGTCCTCTGCATAGGAAGCAGGCAGATGAAAAGAGGTTTCACTGGCTTCAGCGGGGTTCTGTAATGCAGCTCAGCGTCTACATCAAAGCCCATTACATTTGAAGAATGCCACAGCTTTTCTGTACTAAATTGATCCATCGGCTTGCGCTGACTCCCTGCTTGTGTATGACTGAGTAAGGATGACAGGCGTTTTGTAGGAGTTATCGCAAGGGGGGAACCGGCTGTGGTTGTGTGTGTGTGTGTGTGTGTTTGTATGTGTGTGTTCTTGTATTTGTGCTGCTAGGAGGACCAAGTTTCCTCACAGGGATAGAAAGATGAAGAAAATCCCTCGCAGAGAGGATATGTTGGCTAGTTTAGAGTTTTAGGTTTTGGATTAAAGTTGGAATTTATGTTAGGTAAGGGTCAAGGTGAGGAGTGCAACACAGAGAATTAAGATGAGTGCCTCAGTCCTGAAAAGCACATTAATACAAATTAGTCTGTGCATGTGTGTGAATCTTTAATAATTATCCTTCATAATTATGGTACAATTCACCAGGGCCTTCACTAAAATAGACTATTCTGGTCTCTCTGCAATATAGAACGACAGTACGAGAGCATCAGAGGATGAATGCAGCTCTGTTGTCATAGGAACAAAACCCAGCCTGGCAAAACTCAATGTCAAGAGCAGGATTATCAATTAGGGAAATTGAGAAACTTTGTCTTTGAAGTGAAAGGCATTTTGTTTACCTTACAACAGCATGAAAGACAACACACAGGGAGCTAATTCCCACAGATATAAGTGTGGTGAATTGAAGCAGAGTGAAGGGGAGAGGATGATAGTGTGAAAGAGCTCAAGTTTCCAAATATGTGTGTGTGTGTGTGTGTGTGTGTGTGTGTGTGTGCGTGTGTGTGTGTGTGTTTTCTGCAGTGCTCAATGGCCCTCTTCT